TTAAATATAAATTTTTTTCATTGATGGTATATCAAAAACATCTTGTAAAAGCTGCAGATCTCTTCTCTGCAGCCTTTGCAAGCCCTCCTCTTGATCCCAAGCCCAGACTTTCTGTGCATATCCAATCACAGTGTACCCAAGGCAGGTGCACTGAGCTAACCAAACCAGGAATTAACAGGACTTGTTATAATGTGTGAATTTCTATTGATATCGGCTAGACTAGCCTGCAGAAATACTTGAGAAGGGGACGTGGAAGATCCTCTGCCCTGGGCCCTGTTTCCTGGACTGGTGGAAGATATCCCTGTCCCTACCGGTAAACTGTCGAGGCCTATTCTGAGAGATTTTTGCATCCATCAGTGGATCGAATAGTCAAGGCCTATTCTTCAAAATGGCTTTCACATCATGACCTGCAGCTCCAAATTGACAGCTGCCCTCCCCTGTGGAACCAATTCTTCAAGCTTTTGACCTCCTGTGCATACAATTCTGGACTGAAGTAAATAATCAAGCAATCGGTACATCACCTATGTGCTGACTATGTTTTCAGGTCGACACAAGGCAGAGATGCTCCAGTGCATTTCGTTATCTGTACTGCACCGCTAGGGATAAGTCGCGAGAAGCCGGTGTGTCACTGTTGAACGTCCAGTTACAGTTCTCACCTTCACTAACCTAGGCTGCAAGCCAAATGGGGCCAGATCCTTACTTATACATCGCCTTATTGGAGGGTTCCCGCTCTGCACCGCCTGGGGCAAGAGTCAGGAAAATTTCAACTATCAGGCACGGACGCTGGACGTGGCTGGATTCATGGGATTCAATACTATTCGTGCTGAATAGTATCGGAGCCCGGAGCTGGTGGGGTGACCTCCTAAGGTTAGCTGGACTCCAGTTTCCTGGTGGCAGTGGCTCTCCCACTTCAGGTATTGGCTGAGTGGGACAGCAATGATTATTTTATTTGATTTATTTCTTTGTGCATACTTATTTTATTACTATGCTCATGTAGTGTACCTGCTCTAGTGTGTGTTTGCAACCAGTGGAAATTTTCTCATCTAAGTCTAGCAACCCAGCTCTCACTAATTACTTGACTTAATTATGCAAATAGCTAGTTGAGCTGGTACCACTAAGTGTCAAATATTTTACCATAAGTCATCAAACTCCCTCACATAAGGAAAGCTCATAATAGCGGTAACAGTTTATTTTGTTTTGGCTTGTGCTTTTGCGATACCTTGTTCGAAACTTTACATAATATAAATGAAACCTTGTCCATCTGTGTGCACTGTGCCTGTGATGTGTTCCTTGTCAAATATTGATCTACTGTATACATGCTTTCATCTTTCATGACTTAATAAAATTAAATTACAAAAAACAAAATCACTACTATTTTGACACAGAAAGTTCCTAAAAACAATGTATGGATTATGCAGGGTTAAATCATTCTTCTTGTTGAACCACATTTTCTGGTTACTTGACTAATTCTATTTGTGGTTAGTTAATTTCAGCTGTTAAATTTCTGCCGCTCCCATTGGAATTATTCACAGTAGATGTATGTTACTCATCATGTGGTCACGTAAGATGCAGCGACAGAGGGCGAACACCTTAAAGAGCATTTTGTAACACAGAGGAGGTGTGGGCAAGTTATATGACCACGACCTTTATTTATTTTCTATACTAGATGTGTATATTGCACTAACCATGCAAAACATGATGCTGTTTTACAGCTGCAAAGTGCTGTGTAGGTTATGTCTAGAATACAATGGGCTAGAGGTCACAGCACACCCTAGTGGTAATATGTATACACATGATCAGCTACGTAATGTACATACAGAGACAAGGGAGATCCTTTCCACCAGTTCACATTTTCAATCAACCTCTTCAAAACTTTTTTTCTGTGTACATTTATTTGAGTTTCTTTCTGTATCTGCATTGTATAACACTGTAATATATGTTGGTGCTATACAAATGATTATAACTGAAAGAACAGTAACATCAAGCCAGTGTAATAGCACAAAGTTACACAACTTTTCTTACGTCTGTTTTTGCTGTAGATCCAATAGAAGGCAAAAAAACCTAGTTTGATGGGCTTTCCAATTTTGCAACAAGCTAGGAAAATATTCCTTCTTGACCCCAGAATGGCAGTCTGATCTCTCCTTGGATCAAGAAGCTATTACGCCACAAATTAAACATTATATTCCTTCTGAACCT